TGTTTCGTCTACTTACTACTCTCTGACGACTGTGCTGGGGAAGCAGCATATGCATGTAGGTAATTGGTGGATTTGTTAGTTAATTCGACGCTTTTGCACAATGCTGAACATTTACCAGTTTTTCAATAGTTTCTTGTTGAAAATCAACATTTGGAAGCATTTTTATCAATGCGTAGCCATATTTCTGATCGATTGGTGATAAAATTATTGAAATTGGACCAGGGGCAGCTGAGTTATTAACGTTCAAAATCTTTCTTAATTTGTTACATGTTCCATTTTCGGTTTTCACAAAGTGTACCCCCATATAGAAATCAAAGACGTAGTCCTACGTCAAAACCTTCAGATTGACGTTCTAAGATCACGAATAGCCTATTTGGTTGTGGAGTAATCTCTTCTGAAAGTTTAAATTTTTAAAAATCTCGAAAATACAGGGTTGTAGCCCAGAAGGATCTACGCACTTTAGAGCAAAATCAAAAAAGGCGTTTGTTCAAAATGCCAAAATAAGCGTTTTGGCCAAGTTTGGCTCAAATCGGTGACATCGATCACAGGTGGTGTACCCACTTGAGCTGGAATGACCCATATTTGATCCTCAAAAAAAACCTTTGTCAAAATCTCAATCATTTTTTCATCAATGACAAAGATTCACCTGGCAACAAAACGTAATTTCGTGCATTCTGTCTTTTAAATTATTGTTATCCAAGCAGTTCAGAACTCACATGCTTGTTCCCTTTAACGGGTCCATGTAAGTGTTTCGCTCAAGTCTAGACCAACAATTGAAATAGGCGGAACAACCAAACGTAAACAAAGGCTTTAAACGCAAATTCCTCGAAAATCACAGCACATCCAAGCAATCTAACACCCTCATCTGATAGAACAACCTTCCTTTATCGAATGGCATTGTTAGTTTGCGTGAGAGTGTTTTGATTCTCGAGAATTTTGTGTTTAAAGCCATTGTTTACGTTTTGTTGTTCCACCTTTTTCAATTGTTGGTCTAGAAGTCATATAATTTTGTTACAAATTTAGCTAATAAAAATGCACATGTTTGTTACTGACAATTGACATGGTTTACCTTGACGATGACTGTTAGCTCAAATGATTTACTAAAGCAGAATTTTGAATATCGCCGTGCATTGTCAAAATTTTGCAGCACTGCTCCTAGCTTGATTTCCAGGTTGATTCGCGTCTTCCTCTGCGACAATTGCAATTGTTCATGCAGTTTTTTAATTGTACCGCGAAAGTTGCATCTAAAAATACTCAAATTTAAGATTAAAATAAAAAACTCAACTTTGTGTTCTATCATTTGAGGTTCGCCATTGCGTGAAACAGAAAAGTGCCGTTGATTCAAATTTACTCATCTTTTGAGACATAATAGATAAATTCCAATTTGAGTAATTTTTTAATCATTACTTATCTCAAAACGTAATATTTTCATTATCGATTGATATACATTCCGTACTACCGGCATGGATTTGAATTTTGACATGACAACATTCTTTGAACTAACTTAAAACTAACTTGAAAGTAAACATTTATGAGTAAAAATTTACCCATTTTAAAGAAAAGTGGCTAAACTCATGAAATGGAACAGCAGACAAAAGGGTTATCTTCCATTAAATTACACTTAAATAATTTTGGTATCCATGACAGATACGTATTTCGCCTACAATATGCAGTCTTCATCAGTGTTATTCCCAGTAAAGACTTATCAAAAACCTAACTCCCTTAAGGACTCATCCCCTAGGTAAAAATGTCAAGATCTCAGGTATAAAAATGAAACTAAAGGGTGTCCACGATGAAATTGCCACACTATGAAATTGCTCTAACTTTTTAACCGTTGGGTAGAATTTAATGAAAATTTGGGTGGATTTAGTTCATAGTGCATTATTTACATCCTGCAAGTTTTAAAGTCCTGTGATCAAAACTCGCGGAAATGGAGTCGAAAGAACAGCTCGTGCGTGATAAAATCTTGCGCATTCATCACGAGAACAAGGATCTCTCGCATCGTTCCATCGCTAAAACGTTGGGAATGGCGAATTCCACGGTGTCGCGAGTGATTAAGCGGTTCGAGGAACGGTTGACCACCGATCGGAAGCCCAGAATTGAAGGAAAAAGTATTCCGTACAACACCAAAAATCATAACCGCGTAGTTGGGGCCTTCAACCGAAATCCGAACGCCTCCGTTAGGGATGTGGCTAAGAAGCTGCACCTAAGCCGAAGTTTTGTCCAGAAGGCCAAAACTAAGGCTGGGCTTCGAACGTTCAAGGTACAAAAGGCCCCTAATCGCGACGAGAAGCAGAACAAGTCCGCCAAAACCCGTGCCAGGAAGTTGTACCTCAACATGCTGACGAAAGTTGAATGCTGCATCATGGACGACGAAACATATGTGAAGGCCGACTTCAAACAGATCCCCGGCAACCTGTTTTTCACGGCCAAGGATAAGTTCAGCGTTCCGGAGCATGTCCGCACTCAGAAGATGTCCAAATTTGCGAAGAAATTCCTGGTTTGGCAAGCCATCTGCACGTGCGGGAAGCGGAGTGCACCTCTCGTGACCCAGGACACGATGAACGGACAGGTGTACATAAAAGAGTGCCTCCAGAAGCGGCTGCTTCCTCTCCTGAAGGCCCACAACGTCCCAACAATCTTCTGGCCGGATTTGGCCTCATGCCACTACTCCAAGGGCGTGCTGAAGTGGTATGCGGACAATAAGGTCAATTTCGTGCCGAAAATGTTCAACCCTCCCAACACTCCGGAGCTCCGCCCCATCGAGAAGTACTGGGCGATTATGAAGCAGCACCTTCTTAAACGACCTAAGGTAGTGAAGACATTCGAGGAACTGAAGAAAGTATGGGTTTACATGCAAAAAACATTTGATTCACAGGTTGTGCAGAATCTTATGGCCGGGGTTAAGGCCAAGGTGCGGGCATTTGCGTATGGACTGTAAATAAAATACGAGTAAAATGGTAAAATGAAGTTTAATAGTTATTTCTCAATCCCTGAAAATTTGATGGCAATCGGATGAAAACTCGAATTTTGCGAATCAATTTTGTGTGTGGCAATTTCATCGTGGACACCCTTTACAATGTGTAGAATCGGAACCACCAAACTAATAATAACCAAAGGTTTAGGTAAAGTAAAGAAGAAAAATCTATTCAAATCTCTAATAAGGAAAAAATTCCAAAGGCTTGGTAGCCATCATAATGAATTAATGGATATTTTTAGCTTATTGTTTCTTACCACCCCACCTGGGGTTGTTCCGTATTACCCCATCTTTCCTTATCTGGCGTATTTTACGTTTTGGATGCTAGAAGAGAACCCCTTTTATCTTACTATGTGGCAAAAATAGCTGCCAATATGCTGGAGCAACAATAGAAAAGGGCCCATCAGCATTTGTAAACAAACCGTTTTAAAGCAAAGGCCGCCCATGCAAACCAACAGCATCATCGTTTAGGGGAAACTTTCCACTACCCGACAATGCTGTTGGTTTGCGTGGGAGGCTTTCGATTTTGTGAGGAAAGGGCTTTAGAACAGTTTATTTACAAATGATGATGGGCCCTTTCCTATTGTAGCTCCAGATACATCTAGATAGAGCTGGAATTAGGGCCTAACAGCTTTTGTAAACAATGATTTCTATTGATGATTTCTAGAAATTCAAGGCTCGCCCACGCAAACCAATATCTTCATCTGGTAGGGAAAGACTTCCCCTATCCGATGGTTATCTAGAAATATTCTAATTCCCTCCAACCCACTACCTGCCTACCTTGCTTTGCTTTGCAAGGCAGGTAGGATGTTTTACGAGCCCGTCAATTCCTTTAACTATTATCGTTTGAGGGGGTGAATACAGAAGTCTTTGACACTAAATTTCGGTCAAACGATGCCATGCAGCATGGGGAATCCTTAATGCAAAAAATGTACGCTCAAGGACTTCATTTAATACCCCTTCTGACAATGACAATAGGTAAATGAACCGACGATGACATAATTTCCCCATGCATATGCAGTACAATGCAGATTTCAGTTTCGATAAACTCGTCAAATCCTATCAAGCTAATCTCTAAAAACTAAGAGACGAAACAGAAAACATTTGCAATCCATACCCGAATTCAAATATGTACAGGGAAGGTGGAGCGTTGAACAATTCAATCGCACCATATAACACGCATAAAACAAGCAAAAGCATAGAACAGAACGGCAAACAAACTCCCCCACGCTATTCCCATCATATTGGTCGTGTCTGCGCGCTTAATCCTCCTCTATTTGATGCTATTTCCCAGCAACAATAGCAACGGTATTATTAGCCCCCTATTGCTGATGCCATTGCTTCACAAAACGTTCGAATGGAATGAATGGCATCGTTTGCCAGAATCACCGCCACCATCTAGGGAGAAATGGTGGAACTGGGACGGTTTCGAATAAGCGCTTAAATGCAATGCTGGATACCTACCTGTGTACCTTGTGTGTAACTTTGCCCTTTCACAACCAGCGACGACGACTGTAGCAATGACGATTGCAATATTGTTCGCTAATTTGGAGAAGTGCTGCTCCAGTACAATTGCAACCGATAACAGTTTTCTTTACATGATGGCTTCCTTATGTTACTTTACACTTTCCAATTCACGGAAGCTGCGATAACCGCTTGATGAAACATTCCCAATAGAATTATTGAAAGAAAATGCGCAAAGGTTGGCAAATAGGGGAAACAAAGCGAATGTCTACCGAAGAAATGTAGTTAGTTCTTTACCCAGTCTCAATATAATCACAACTAATATGTCTAATAAGTATCTAATTGATCGATATCGATATCAATGACTCATGAAGAAATGAGCTAACAAGCAAGAGTAGGATAGGATTTTCTAGTATGTTAAATTTTTAAGTTTGAGTGTTGATGTTCTCTCACCGAGAAAAGCGTCTTCGTTTGATTCTAATCGATCTGTTTCTTTATCCAATTTCCCTTCATCCCATCTTCCACCCCAACCCTCTCCAAACACACGCATCAATAACAGTGCCCGGAGAACCGCAGGACGTCGTGGCAGTTCCGGTGAATTCAACCACCATCAAAGTGACGTGGAAACCGCCGAAGGAGAAGAACCGAAACGGCGTCATCCGAGGGTATCACATTCACGTGCAGGAGATGCGCGAAGAGGTAAGTTAAGCTTCCGCTTTCCCTTTGTAATCCAATGTAGCCAACGGCAACGTCGTTCCAACAGGGCCGAGGACTGCTAAATGAGCCGATGAAGTTTGACGTGGTGGATGCGATGGAATTCAACGTGACCAGTCTTCAACCAGACACCAAGTACTCCGTTCAGGTGGCAGCATTGACGCGGAAAGGCGACGGCGACAGAAGTGCACCGATTGCGATTAAAACTCCCGGAGGTGTCCCGATTAGACCGACGGTAAGTCTGAAGATTTTGGAACGGGACCCTACGGTATCGATCGAGCTGGAATGGGAACGACCGAAGCAGACTTATGGTGAACTGCGAGGATATCGCGTGAAGTGGGGAGTTCGAGAACAGCCACTGAATGAGGAAACCATAATGAAGGAAAATACACTAACTAAGCGCATCAACGAGCTGGAACGGGGTGTGGAGTATGAATTCAGAGTGGCCGGAATGAACCATATCGGTATTGGTCAGGAAACAGTGAAATACCTGCAAACTCCGGAGGGCATACCAACCGGGCCGCCGGCAGATATTGTCGTTAGATTCCAGACACCTGATGTGGTTTGCATCACTTGGGAGCCTCCAACAAGGGAGCACAGAAATGGTCAAATTACACGATACGATATTCAATTCCACAAAAAGATCGATCATGGCCTCGGCACGGAGAGAAACACGACAGTCAGGAAAGCTGTCTTTACCAACCTGGAAGAAAGTACGGAGTACATTGTCAGAATCCGAGCATTCACGAAACAGGGGGCAGGTCCGTTTAGTGAAAAGAAAATTGTTCCGACAGAACGCGATATGGGACGTGCTCCACTAATGGTGCAAGCCGTTGCCACTTCTGAGCAAACCGTTGAAGTTTGGTGGGAAACTGTGCCTTCCCGCGGTAAGCTTGTTGGCTACAAGATCTTCTACACCATGACTGCAGTCGAGGATCTCGACGAATGGCAAATGAAGGTAGTCGGAGTAACAGAATCTGCGGATCTTTTGAACCTGGAGAAATTCGCTCAGTATGCCATTGCGATCGCTGCTTTGTACAAAAACGGTCCTGGAAGGCTCAGCGAGAAGGTCACTGTAAAAGTCAAGCCGGAAGATGTTCCCCTGAACCTCAGAGCTCACGATGTCAGTACACATTCCATGACCTTGAATTGGGCACCACCGATCCGACTGAATCCAAACAATTACAAGATCTCCTTCGATGCCGTCAAAGAGTTCGTCGATTCTCAGGGTATTGCTCAGAAGCAAGTCCTGCCGAAGCGAGAGATCGTACTGAAAAGCCACGTCACCTCTCATACCATTGGAGAACTGTCCCCGTTCACCACCTATTTTGTAAACGTCAGTGCCATTCCAAACGACTATTCGTACAAGCCACCCACCAAAATCACAGTTACGACACAAATGGCCGCTCCGCAACCAATGGTTCAACCAGATTTCTACGGAGTCGTAAATGGTGAAGAGATCCAAGTGATTCTTCCGCAAGCATCCGAAGAATACGGGCCAATCTCACACTACTTCTTGATCGTTGTCCCAGAGGACAAATCAAACCTGCACAAACATCCGGACCAGTTCCTCACAGAAGATCTTCTACCGAGCAAGACGCGCTCGGAACGTCTAAACGCACCGTATGTCGCAGCGATGTTCCTCCAAAGAAACATACCCTACACGTTCCATCTGGGATCCGGGGAAACCAAACACAATTTCACCAACAAAAAACTCGAACGAGGCAAACGCTACCGCATCTTTGTCCGAGCCGTAGTAGATACTCCTCAGAAGCACCTCTACACGTCTAGTCCGTTCTCGGAGTTCCTTGCCTTGGATATGAAGGAAGCACCAACCGGAGAACCACCACACAGACCGAATCCCAATGTCCCGCAAGACCCAGAAATCCTCATTCGAGGGAAAAGCGAGGAACCCGGAATGATTTGGGTCGTGGGTCCCATCATTTCTGCCCTCGTGCTGTCCTTTCTCCTGGTGATAATTTACTTTGTTAGACGGAGACAGCAACCGTACAAAACTCCGGATCAAGCTGCCGTTACTCGACCATTGATGGCGGCCGATCTGGGTGCGGGACCTGCTCCTACCGATCCGGTCGATATGCGAAGGCTTAACTTCCAAACTCCTGGCATGATCAGTCATCCACCTATCCCCATCTCGGAGCTGGCCAACCACGTGGAACGCCTCAAAGCCAACGATAATCTTAAGTTCTCTCAAGAATACGAAAGCATCGAACCGGGTCAACAGTTCACTTGGGATCATTCGAACATGGAAGTCAACAAACCGAAAAATCGCTATGCAAACGTCACCTCTTACGATCATAGCAGAGTAATCCTGCAACCAATCGAGGGAGTACCCGGTTCGGACTACATCAATGCAAACTACTGCGATGGCTACAGGAAACACAACGCCTACGTAGCGACGCAGGGACCTCTGCAGGAGACATTCGGAGACTTCTGGCGAATGTGCTGGGAACTGAAGTCTTCTACGATCGTCATGATGACTCGACTGGAGGAACGATCTCGAATCAAATGCGATATGTACTGGCCAGCACGGGGCACCGAAGTGTACGGCGTTATGACGGTGACAATCACGGAAACTCAGGAATTAGCTACCTACAGCATAAGGACGTTCCAAATTTGCCGAAGCGGAAGCAACGAACGACGAGAGATGAAACAACTACAGTTCACGGCATGGCCAGATCATGGCGTTCCGGATCACCCGGCTCCATTCCTACAGTTCTTGAAACGCACCAAGGTACTCACGCCGCCCGATTCAGGACCTATCATCGTACACTGTTCGGCTGGTGTTGGCAGAACCGGATGTTACATCGTAATCGATTCTATGCTGGAACGTATGCGTCACGAAAAGATGATTGACATCTACGGTCACGTTACTTGTTTGCGAGCACAACGTAACTACATGGTTCAAACCGAGGATCAGTACATATTCATCCACGATGCTCTGCTGGAGGCGGTCATCTGCGGTAGCACGGAAGTCCCGGCCAGAAGTCTACACAATCACATACAGAAGTTGATGCAAACTGAGCCAGGCGAGAACATTACCGGAATGGAAATGGAATTCAAGAAGCTATCGAACGTGAAAGCCGACTCGTCCCGATTTGTGACGGCCAACTTGCCGTGCAATAAGCACAAGAACCGTTTGGTTCACATACTGCCATACGAAGCATCCCGTGTATGCTTGACACCAATACGGGGCGTGGAAGGCAGCGACTACATTAACGCCAGTTTTGTCGATGGGTAAGCATTGTTTGTTTATCGAATACAACATATGTTCCTAAAAGATTGTTTTACAGCTATCGGTATCGCAATGCATACATTGCTGCACAGGGACCGCTTCAGGAGACAGCGGAAGACTTCTGGCGAATGCTGTGGGAACACAATTCCACCATCGTTGTGATGTTGACCAAGCTCAAGGAAATGGGAAGGGTAAGAGTTGCAGCTTCACATTTCGCCAGTCTTGTTTATAACTATGCTAAACCTTTTTCTTTTAATCACAACAGGAGAAATGTTTCCAATACTGGCCCCACGAGCGTTCGGTGCGGTACCAGTGCTACGTGGTCGATCCCATTGCCGAGTACAACATGCCACAGTACAAACTGCGCGAGTTCAAAGTGACCGATGCGCGGGACGGTTCCTCGCGTACGGTGCGGCAGTTCCAGTTCATCGACTGGCCAGAGCAAGGAGTGCCAAAATCGGGTGAAGGCTTCATCGATTTCATCGGACAGGTGCATAAAACGAAGGAGCAATTCGGCCAGGATGGCCCGATTACAGTGCATTGTAGTGCCGGTGTTGGTCGAACCGGGGTGTTCATTTCGCTCAGCATAGTGCTGGAGCGAATGCAGTACGAGGGTGTGCTGGACGTGTTCCAGACGGTGCGGATACTGAGGTCGCAGCGGCCGGCGATGGTGCAAACGGAGGTAAGTCGAACAGTTGAAGTTAGATTATGTTGATAGTTCCACCTCCAACAAAGGGGGTCGGTTCAAAGTGGACGCATGGTTGATTATTTCGGTTCTATCAGAAAGCTCTATTCGAAGCGGTAACGATCCGTTACAACAGCGAAATATTTCAAGCTTAATGCTTTTATACTTGCTTGATAAAAGCACAAGGATGGTTTCATAAGCTAGCAGTTGAAATGTTTCGTATCTTAGTAACGTCATCATAACTTGTTGCTGCTGCCGCCAGATCAGGAATATTAATCGATAACCGGGAATAACTTCAGCGTTAACGTCTGGAATGGTAAAAAATTTACCCATTTAAAGAGTAGCTGCTCCATATTATTGATATTGACCGGGTAACAGTTACTCATTAATGGAATAAGTCACTTTTCTTCAAAATGGGTCCTTTTATACCCATCAATGGGTACTTTGGAATCTCTTTTCATCAGCTCATTTCACATCAACGAATCCTTCAATACCAGCGCTTCCATCAAGCTTCAACGCAATTGAAACGTTGATGTAACATAGAGTTCTCGTCGCCTCAACCCAATCCGCTTCAGTAGATTGACTAAATTTTCTAAATCATCCCCCAGAATTGACGCGTTCTTTGGAGGATTCCTGTATGTGTTTTCTTTCTACCATCAGTAGTCGTCATATCGGTTCGATGCTATATGCAAACGGTTCATTAACACTACGAATACGGTGGGTAAAAAAACTTTACGCCGACTTCGAAGCCTCAGAAAACGTGTAACGGCAGGTTTTTAATGACATAACATAGCCATTTCTTAATGAATTTCAAAAATTGTGGTACCTTTAGAATTACTTGGGTTTGTAGATGATTTTGATTGTAAAAAAAATTGAAAATAGTGTCGTCTACTTTTTTAAAAAGCGAAAAGAGTTGTTACACGTTTTTTAAAGGTGTGTTTGTAGGGTTTTGCAGGTGGCGCAAGATCTGTAATTTCGATTAATGGGCACAAATGTTCACAATTAGACAGAATACAGTAATGGTTCTTATATATAAATCCTGGAGACAATGGAACGGTCCTCGGAACATCCGTAAAAGTGGTCAATCCATAAACCTAACCCCAGAGCTCCACGGGTTTTTTTTTTTGAAACATTAGGAACAGTGATATAAAAAAGTATTTGGGGTCGTGACATAAGCATGGACCTGGATGGCCATGGGATCGTCCTCCGGAAGATCCAAAACATTCGACCTTTCGATGCCTGTACCATTTTTGCATTAGTAAGATTGTGTGGCAAGTACAATCATACTCTATGCCCAGGGAAGTCGAGAAATTTTCCAACCGGAAAAATTCGTAGACCGGACCGGGAGTCAACCCAGCCACCTCCAGCATGGTCTTGCTTTGTAGCTGTGCCTTTACCGACTGAGCTAAGGGAGGTCCGAAAGGTTCGAAAGCATGTGGAACTGTGATATAAGAAAGAATTTGGAGTCATGACATAAACATGGACCCAAATAGCCATGGGGCCATCCTGTGGTAAGTCCAGAACATCCGTAAAAGAGGTCTATCAATGAAATTGATCCTAGAGCTCCGCATTTTTTTTTTTTCAAAAAACGTTAGGAACTGTGTTATAAGAATGAATTTTTTAATAGATGAACTAGCCTACCCAGACAACCAGAAGTCGTATAACAATGTACAGACAGTATCGTAAATTGCTACCGTTTAAGTCAAAATCGCATATAATAATGGCATACCTCGCATTATGTTTAAGTGAAATCGTATAGAATACAAATTTCCGACCTATATGCGACAGCTCATTTTTTCGTCGTACTGTATCACAAATTAAATCGGATTACATCGTAAGACTTTTCAAAATGAATTTGTTATTACAGATTAAATCGTATATGATATTAAACCAACTCGTTTAAAGTTAAATTAAAATATACACGTATATGGCCTCCACTTTTGTACGTATAAGCCATTTCTTTGCATTCTATACGAATTGTTTGCTTGTATATATGTTTGTATATCACGAAAACAACTTTGAATATACGTGCTTTCTGGTTGTCTGGGTATGGCTAAAAACCTCTTAAATAAAGAAAAAAAAAATGAATTTGGGGTCGTGACATAAACATGTACCTAGATAGCCATGGGACCGTCGTCCGGAAGATCAACAACATCCGTAAAATGGTATCTCCATATTTGAGAGGTGGAGGCAGTACTATAACGAGCACCTCAACGGTGAAGCAGCAGAAAACGAAGGTGGCACGACAACAGACCTTGGAGCACGCGCAGAAGACGACAGGCTACCGGCCCCTGATCTTCAAGAAGTTGAGGAGGAGATCGGTCGGCTGAAGAACAACAAAGCAACTGGTGTAGATCAACTACCAAGTGAGCTATTAAAGTACGGTGGTGAAGCATTGGCTAGAGCACTGGACTTGGTAATTGTCAAGATTTGGGAGGAGGAGATATTACCGGAGGAGTGGATGGAAGGTGTCGTATGCCCAGTCTACAAAAAGGGCGACAAGTTGGGTTGCTGCAACAATAGCACGATCACATTGCTGAGCACTGCCTACAAGGTACTCTCCCAAATTCTATGCCGCCGCCTGTCACCAATTGGAAAAGAGTTCGTGGGGCAATACCAGGCGGGATTCATGGGTTCATATTCACGATTCGCCAGGTTCTGCAGAAATGCCGCTAATACAACTTGCCCACACATCGATTTCAAATCCGCATACGACACAATCGATCGAGATCAGCTATGGCAGATTATGCACGAGTACGGATTTCCGGATAAGCTGACCGGATAAACGGATAAAGGCAACGATGGATCTAGTAATGTGTATTGTTCGAGTGTCGGGGACACTCTCGAGTCTCTTTGAATATCGAAGGGGGCTACGGCAAGCTGATGGGCTTTCGTGTCTGCTATTCAACATCGCGTTACAGGTGTGATCAGAAGAGCTGAGATACACACGAGTGGCACGATCTTCAGGAAGTCCATCCAGCTTCTTGGCTTCGCCGATTACATTGACATCATGGCACGGAACTTTGAGACGATGGTGGAAACGTACATCAGACTGAAGGCTGAAGCTAGGCGGATTGGACTTGCCATCAACGCATCAAAGACGAAATACATGAAAGGAAGAGGTTCTAGGGAAGACAATGTTAGCCATCCACACCGAGTTCAGATTGACGGTGACGAAATCGAGGTGGTCGATGAGTTCGTGTATTTGGGTCACTGGTGACCGCCGAAAGTGATACCAGCAGAAAAATTCAAAGGCGCATGATGGCAGGGAATGGTGCCTACTTTGGACTCCGGAGGACGCACGAAGTTGACTATCTTAAAGACGCTGATAAGACCGGTGGTCCTCTACGGCCACGAGACGTGGACTATACTGGTGAAGGAGTTTTCGAAGGTGTTGCGTACCATCTACGGTGGAGTGCAGATGGGTGACGAGACGTGAAGGAGGCGAATGAACCACGAATTGCACCAGCTGCTGGGAGAACCATCCATCGTCCATATTGCAAAAATTGGGCGACTACGGGGGACTGGGCATGTCGTAAGTGGACAAGGTGGATCGACTAAGTAGAAGGCGACCTGCGGACCCTTAGCAGACTACGAGGCTGGCGAAGTGTGGCCATGGATCGAGTAGAGTGGAGACGACTTCTTCGGACATCAGAGGACAACAAGGCCTTAGCCTGATTGCATGATTGCAAGAAAGCATGCCATAACATTGATCCAAGAGCAGAGCTGGTAAATATCACGGCCATCATTTGACGATGAGAAAACAGGTCCTCTCACTATCACGAGACGACACTACCTATCATTAGCTTTATTGTCATTTTTCAATGATCAAGCACTCATGAGAATAATTCTTATGCGGTTTTGACATCTACATTTCTAACTGATTTAGATGAATTTAATCAAACTACCATATGTAATCGGTAGAGTGGATATATTATTTAAATTTCCTCTGTACTACAAACTTTAATAGTATTAAATGAGCTAGTAATAACGATGATCACAACACTGTCACGTTCTGTCATAACGAAAAATTCGATGAGATCTCCATCATCGTTTTCTCATCCAATGATAGTGACAGAAGTATCTCTGTAAATATCGTGTGAGATCTTTCATTGAAAATGACATTTGCCAGCCCTGTCCAAGAGTTCCACGGTTTTTTTTTTGAAAACACGTGGAACTGTGATATTAGAATGAATTTGGGGTTTTAACATAAACATGGACCCGAATGACCATGGGACCGTCCTCCGGAAGATCCATAAATGTGGTCCATCCATGATACTGATTCTAGAGCTCCGTAGTTTTGTCGAAAACACTTCGAACTATGATATGGGTCATTCCAGCTCAAGTGGGTACACCATCTGTGGTCGATGTCACCGATTTGAGCAAAACTTGGCCAAATCGCTTATTTTGGCATTCTGAACAAATGCCTTTTTTGATTTTGCTCTGAAGTGCCTAGACCCTTCTCGGCTACAACCCTGGATTTACAACATATTTAAAAATTTCAACTTTCAGAAGAGATTACTCCACAACCAAGTAAGCTATTTGTGCTCTTAGAACGTCAATTTGAAGATTTTTTAATGTAGAATATAGTTAATATAGTTGTACTCACATTTTATGTTTGTTATAGTAATTACAGTAATCAGGCTGATTACCGGCAGGTATCTAAATTGTTAAAAATGGCCTATTTTCACCATGAGTGGAATTTTTTACTTCTTAATATTTTGGAACATGTGAAAAATAACATAAAAATATTATTGTGCCATCGGCGTGAAGGACTTCAAGAAAAAAAAAATTAAATTGTAGTGATTTTCCATCAGAAAAGCTCAAAACTACCACTCACTCATCTGCTGATATCTCAAAAACTATTTGTCCAAATCATTTGCCCTTGGAAACACATATAGGAAAAATGTTTTACAAAGTGTGGTGTAAATTTGAGCCCAAAATATTAAGAAATAAAAAATTCCACCCATGGTGAAAATAGGCCATTTTTTGACAATTTGGATACTTGCCGGTAATCAGCCTGATTAGTGTAATTGCTGTAACAAAAATAAAATGTGAGCACACATATGTGAATCCACATTAAAAATCCTTTAAATTGACGTTTTAATATCACGCTTATTTGTTAATGGAGTAATCTCTTCTGAAAGTTGAAATTTTTAAAAATCTTGAAAATCCAGGGTTGTAGCCGAGAACTATATAGGCACTTCAGAGCAAAATCAAAAACGGCGTTTGTTCAGAATGCCAAAATAAG